ATGAATTACCTCTTCATTCATCTGTGCATCTTCTCCAGTCAAAGCACTTTCTGTGTTAGCCATCAAGCACATGTGTGCAACAGCCTCAGCCTCTTCTTCCTCATCAGTAAGGTTTAGCCAATGTTCATCCTCGGCCATCAAAGCTTTGCCAGCTTCTCTTTCCTTAGTGAGAAGGAATTTATTCTTGTAATAGTCGGAATCTCGGTTTACCGGCTTCTTACAATCAATGGCAAAATGGCCTAATTTGCCACAGTTAAAGCATTTTGTATGTTCATCAGCTACTGCTTTGCCATATTTCTTTCCTTCTTCTGGCTTTCGCTCGTACTTCTTCTCGAATCGTTTCTCTTCGTATTTCTTCTTCTCTCCGAACTTGTCCTTGTAATCGTACTTTGATCCGGATGAGAATCGTTGATTATTCGAGTGTGGCCGTTTGGCAAACCTGTACTTCTTGAAAGCTTTGGTCAGCAAGGTCATAGCTTGCTTGATTTCAGAGTCAGATTCTGAGCTGTTACTGTTTTCTTGCTCATACTCTCTTGACGAACTAACTTCAACAACCTTCTTCCCAGATCTGCCTCTATACTTCTTCTCCTTCTTCTCTGTTACAAGAGCTAAAGGATCAGATACTTCCTTTTCCTTCTTCTTAGATTTACGGATTTCTAAAACATCTTGTTCATTCTGCTTCAGAGTTTCGTAAATTTCATGTACATCAATATCAGATTGCTGTTTGTTGAATTTGATATTGTTGGCAAATGTTTTCCACTCTGGTTGGAGATTGTTAAGAAACTTAACATTTATCTCGATGTTAGTTTTAGAAATTCCGTTCTTCGTGAGCTCATTYAVCAGCCTAGCAAGACGGTTATAGACATCATCAAGGCTTTCTCCTTCCCTAGCCTTGAACTCTTCGTACGCAGAAATACAGTTCGTGATCTTCAGTTGAGTTCCAACCTTAGATCCCATCATCATTTTCTCTATTTGTATCCACATGTTGTGGCCAGATGACTTGTAGCTGTCTATGCTTGTGTATATGTCATTGGTTAGTGCTTGCATCATGTATGATTTGCATAGCACGTCAGCATGTGATCTTTCCTTGTCCTCAGGAGTATATTGATCTTTACGCKTTGGTAACYTYTGTGCAGGAATGCCCATAACAGGATCAGCTGGTACAGTCATAAAGAATTCAGCTGGGCCTTCCTGTAGAGATTGTAAAATCATTTCTCTTTCCTTCAATCTTTCAATGAAATTCAAAAATCTATCTCTCCACTGATTGTAATCTCCTCTAA